GCCACCAGAGCTCCTTATATTTCAATTAGGAGACAACAACTAGGGAAATGCTTACGAAGCCGGTGGGTGACATCGCACGAGGCCTGTGAGCCCAGCTCTGTGGCCCCACCTCCAAGGCAGAAAAAGCCTCAAAGAGAAGAGTCTGAAGGGCCCCTCCATGTGTGTGTGTGTGTGTGTGTGTGTGTGTGTGTGTACCCGGCACCCCACGCACCCGCATCCCTGCGCCCACGCCCGTCCACCCCGCAGGTCGTCAGCTCCGCTCAGATGTGGTGGGCGCGTTCCACGTCGGGACCCAGGTGGGAGGGTCCTGCGTTCCGGCGGGCGCTGGCCCTGCTGGGTTTGGGCCTCCAGGCCCAGCAGTGCATCCAGTGAGCAGGCGCGTCCCCCTAGGTGTCAGGGGAGCCTGGAGTGGGACGGAGTAGGGGGTGAGCGGCTCCCACGGTCCCTGGAGGTGCCCTCCTCGCTCCAGCAGGATGATCTGGGCGGCAGGGGCAGTTGCCCCATGCCCAGCATCACCTTGGCAGCCTACCACGCCCTGGCGTCCGTAAATCGAACCTTGACCTGCAAGGTACAGAAGCTGGTCCGCTGTCCGTCAGCATCCCTATCCGGGCAGCACCCCTGTATCCGCTGGGGCTACAGCGACAAGACAAGAGCCTATCCCAGCCGTCAGACGAACACCTGAGGAGGAGAGGGATGAGTGGGGTGCCAGGGGCTGGCACACCGTCCCGCCCACCGGTCCCACCACGTGGAGGAGGCACCTCAAGATCGCAGCTGTGTGGCAGAGGCAGCCTTTGCCCTTTAACTTGACCCCTCTGGCTGCTGCGTGACACCTGGATTGTCCAGTGCAGGGGCAGAAGCAGGGAGACCAGTAAGGAGGTATGGTGGTTAAGTTTGTGTGTCGACTCAGCTGGGCCTGGCTGAGTGGCTGGGCAGCTGGTGGTAGTTAATCCCCATGATGAGGCTAGCAATCAACTCCATGATGGGATCTACCACAAGCAGCTGAGTAGCTGCCTTTGGGGTGTGGTCTGCTTCCTGTGTATAACGAGAAGCCTTGGGCATGGTCTCTAGTCTATGGCACGCTTGGACCCTGCATGTAGCCGTGTCGTTGCTCAGCAGCCTGCCATGCTCTGCCGACCTTGGGACTTACAATGGACTGAAGTTAGTGACCTGCCATGTGGATTGGTAACATCGGGACTGTGCCTTTTTATTTGTCCACCTTGGGCTTGGCAGCCTCAGCAGCCAGCAGCTGTCTGAGTGAAGAAACGCCTCTAGCTCTAGTGGGCCGGGAGCAGGAGGCAGAGCTGGTCCCCAAGGTTGAGGGGCTTTCACCCAGGCCCTAGAGCCTGGCACTTGACTTAAAGCCTCCAAATTGTAAGAATAAACTCCTGTTTGTTAAGGCCGTCCCATTGGTGGTATATTTCTGTCAGAGCGGCTCTAGGAACCAGAACAGGAGGGTCCCCAGGAATTCAGGGAAGAGCTTGGGTCTTAGAGAGGGACTTGGAGCCAGCCCTCCTCGTCCCGCCGGAAGCCCCTGGCGCTCCCCGCCTCCTCTGTGCCTGCAGCCCCACACAGCAGCCCAGGCTGCTGGGACTTCGGGGGAGGCGGCCGAGCCCCCTCCTCCGGCACCCGTCGCCCCGTCCTTCTCCTGCGGCCGCTGTCGCTGTGGGTCGTCCCCTCATCGCTGAGCATAGGCCCCCGGCCCCCAGCCAGCGTCTCCCCACTGCTGGAGGACAGTGCATGGGGGAGGGGATACAGGGGCCCTGGGGCCTGAGGTCAGAGGTCAGGCTGGTCTCCCTGGAATGCCTGCTTCGTAGTGACTCCACACACCCTGACGTTGTGAGCTGGCCCCCCCATAATAAGCTTCCCCCACCCAGATGTGCCTGCTATGCCCCCAGGTCAGAGCAAGGAGCCACCTCCTGCTCTGGGAGGCACGACATTCCCAGCCCTCTGAGGCCCCTCCCCATAGCCACCAGGGTGTGAACTCAGGGTCCTGTGACAACATCTAGATGAGGGAAGGAGGGGTGGGGAAAGGGACAAGGCAAGACTGCAGTCTCTAAAGGAACTCTGTTCCTGGGACTGGCCTCATGACCCTCTGACCCCAGAGCCAGGGCCAGGGTCCCACCAACCCTTTATTTGCACCTTATCCTGCTCTGAAGGGGTGGGCAGTGCAGGCCCCTTGGCCTCAGTGAGTCTTCAGACACCAACAAGAAAACCACAGCTCTCGACAGCTTCCAATGCCTCAAATGGAGCCTGCCTGGGCATCGAGGGGACCGCTGTCTCACCCTCACCCCCTGGGCCCGCTCTGCCCAGTGCCCAGCAGGGCCAAGCGACTGGGCCCATGACCCATGGCGGCCATGGCTGACTGGCCTGTAGACAGGCCCAAGGGGTTGCCTCAGCGGCCACAGGAACTCGGCAGCTCCGCTGCTGGTCTCCCTGCAACTCCCCCAGCCACGTTCATTTCAGGGACCTGCGGAGAGGCTGCCAGGCCCAAGGGTGGGGATGATGTGGGTGGCTGGAGGGCATGTGAGCCCTCACTTGCCCCCTGACCCCAGGGGCGCTTCCTCGATGCCCCCACCCCACCCCCACTGTGGATATTTCTCTAACGACCCCTTTCTCTGGCATCCAGAGTCTCAATTCTTGAAACCAGCCCACGGTGAAGCCCAAGGGGCTGGCCAGGAGGGAGGGGTGCTGAGCAGGGAAGGGCCTGGGCCAATGTCTCAGGTCTGGGGACCCCCACAGTGGCCTCACGCGACTGGCCCTCTCAGTTCCATGGGGCGCAGGCCACTCCAAAGGGAACGATTTCAGAAAAATGCTCCCTGAGGACCCCCCCACTGGCTGGCAAATGGGTGCAGAGCGGCGGGTTTGGCGAGGTGTGCTTCAGGCCGGCTCCCTGAACCTCCCCTCCCCCTGCCGCCTCTTAAGGCAGCGCTGCCCCTCGTTGAGCGTCCGGAGGTCAGGGCTGGGGGGTGGGGAGAGGATGGGAGGTGAGGGGGCTGGTCCCCTCCGTGAAGTGGAGCCTTCCTGCCTGCAGCCGCCCCTAGACTTCCTCCCAGGGCGGGGACAGTGCCGGGAAGCCGGGATTGGGGGAGTGGGGGGGCACCCAAGCCCTCGGGAGGGGGCGCTGCAAGAAGGGCAGTGGACCAGACGGCGGGCTCTTCGGGGTCACTGGGGGGCGGGGGCATCCTGCAGCTCGCTCTGGCGGTAAGCGGTCCCCCGTGGGTCTTGGGGCTCCCTACGCCCGGACGCCCGGGGTCCCCCTCGGGGCCCACCCCAGAACCCTCCAGGCCTGTCCGTATCTCTCCGGGCCCCCAGGCTCAGCTTCCCCCGCCTCCGGCCTTCCCTGTCCCGTCTCCCCGGAACGCTCTGTTCACCTGCCCCGTCCTCGAGGGGCCGTCCCTGACGCCCCCATCGTCAGCTTCCCTTTTCACGGTCTCCAAGAGCCGCGAGTATCTGAGATGTAGGGGTTCGTTAGAGGAACCGTGCGCCCAGGTGAGGGGCGGGCCGTGGGCGGGGCCACAGGGCCGGCCACGCCCCGCGGGGACTCCCAGCCCCGCAGTCGTCCCCCACCCCGCCGAGTCCCGAGCCAGGTGGGCGGCTAGGGCGCCAGGAAACGGGGTCAGGGTCTGGGAAGCGACCCCATTCTTCGGGCCCGCTGCCCCCCGCCCGACTTAAAAGCCAGCTTCCCGGGAAGGGCCTGCGCCTCCGGCCGGAGGAGGACCGCCTTGGGGCCGCTTCCTGCGCGGCCTTTCCCGGCACCGGGTGGGGGTGGGCGGAACCAAGGAGGACGCAGGGCCGGGAGTTCGCACACCTGGACCTCGCCCGGGGACCGCAGACTGGGGCTGCTGCTCTCGGGGCCTCAGTTTCCCTCCCGTAGGCCCAGCCCCTCCCTCTGGCCTCGCTGTCTGCGTCTGAGAACACAGCCCGCCAGCTCCGGGGGCCTGCGATGCCTTATTCCTCAGCCAGGGAAACTGAGGCACAAACGGCCCAGCCCGGTACCCCCGGTCTTCCCGAGTGCCGCTGTGCACCGGAGCCTGGGGCCACGGCGAGGCCTGAGCAGTCAGGGTCTCCCCGGCCCCAGGGCTCCGCGTGCAGAAGTCACCAACAGCTGACAACCGCTGCCGCCCGGTGGCCGCGATAAGGGCTTCGAGGACTAAGAGCCGGAGGGTGCAAAGCCGAGGAGGGGTGGGGAGGCTTGCTGAGGAGGGGACCTTGGCGCAGAGTGAGCCTGCATCCGGAAAGGCCCCGAGGCCACAGAAGGGGCGGGTCGAGCCGGACCCCCACCTAAGGAGTCAGATTTTTGTTCTTTGAGCCCCAGGGAGCCAGGAGGGTGTTGGGGAGCAGGGATCGGTGTTTCTGAAATCCTCAGGGGCAGGAAGGGAAACTGGGAGGAAGGGTCGGGCTGGAGTAGCAGAGGAGAGAGTGGATGGACTCGGGCATGTTTGGAAGGACTCTGATTCGCTGACAACGAGCTGTGGGAGGACTCGGGTCCCCCAGGAGACCTTCTTCCGTCCAGGAGACCACACCCCAGGACGTCTTCACCCCCAGGAGACCACCATCCCTCACGACGTCCTCACCCCAGGAGCGTCCCCGAGCGCAGCTCGGGTCCGGGAGCGGAACGGGGAAGGCCGACGCGTGGCCGCTCAGGGAAGTGCCGGCCCGGTTCCGGCCGTCGGGGTGGGCAGGGGAGGCGCCAGCGGAGACGCAGTATCCTTTCCATTCAATTGACCTCGCAGGTCACATTTCGCCGGTCCGCATAAGTGAGGCCTGGAGTCGGCCCAGACTGTCCCTGCCCGGTTCTCCTGACCTCGGCCCCGGGGTCCCCACCCTACATCTGGCCCGCAGGCCCTGGCTCGCTGTCGCCTCCAAGTCCGGAGTCAGGCCGGGAAAGCCCCTCAGGAAAACCCCCAGGGAGCCACGGGAGAAGGGGTGGCGGGAAGAAGCCCTGGCCCCGCTATTTAAGCTACGTCCCTCCGCAGGCGAAAGGACAGAGGGCGCCGAGCATGGAGCGAGGCCTGGCCTTCCTGCTGGTCCTATGCCTGGGTCTCCCGCCGCAGGGCCGCGGTGAGCGGGGCAGGGGCCGGCGACGAGGGGCTCGGACGGCGGAGGGGCTCCGACGGCGGGGGCTTAGGAACGGGCCCGGATGGGAGAAGGGCCCGGCGAGCAGGGCGGCCTCAGAAAGACCGGGCTTACAGGGGGCCGGGAGCTCCGAAGCAGGGGCCTTGGGAAGAGGAGGGGGCGCAGGGCGGGGAAGGGCTCGTAGAGGCGGGGCTCGGGGATGCAGGCATCAGTCGGAGGATGGTGGGAGCCGCTGCCACCGCAGGGGCGCTTGGAAAGCGTAAAGACAAGGGAGAGGGGGTGGGCGCTTGGGCCGCCCTCGACTCCAGGGAGACGGGCGGGGGTGTTGGCAGGGGTCCAGGAGGGACTGAGGGCCGCGTCCGACCCGCAGGGCAGGACCTGGAAGTGGAGCCCCCGGAACCCGAGGTGGCTGTGGCAGTGGGCGGATGGCGGCAGCTCACCTGCCGTCTGGCCTGCCCCGGCCGCGGGCCCGCGTCGGTGCAGTGGCGGAACCTGGACACCAGCCTGGGCCGCGTGCAGTCGATCCCGGGCAGCAGCGTCCTCACGGTGCGAAACGCCACGCTGTCGGCGGCGGGTACGCGCATGTGCGTGGGCTCCTGCGGGACCCTCGCCTTTCAGCGCTCCGTGAGGCTCCTGGTGTACGGTGAGGCGGGTCCCTGTCCGTGCCTCCGTGCAGGCGGGGCCCAGCCCCCTCTGCTGCCCAGGTCAAGGTGGCCCCTAGACCACCTCCTCCTGGGAGCCTTCCCCAGCTGCCCTGGGGGGGCTCAAAGCCTGCTAGCTCTGAAGCCCACTCCCAGTCGCCACACTCCACCTGGTTTCCGTCCTTTGCCCCCTCTTGAAAGCACCCAGAGCCAACCCTGCCCTTCCCTGCCCCAGGCCCTCCCCACCCCCATCGTCTAGGCACAAGGTGGCCCTTTTCACAGGCTGTCTGTCCCCTGTCCTCTTCACCAGCTGCCACCACCACCTGCCCTGGACTCAGCCCTCACTGTCCCCCTCCACAGCCTTCCCGGATCAGCTGAGCGTGTGCCCAACGGCCCTGGTGTCTGGACAGGACCAGGAGGTGGCCTGCACAGCCCACAACATCACGCCAATGGACTTTCTCTCCTTCTCCCTGCTCCTGGAGGACCAGGAGCTGGAGGGGGCCCAGGCCCTAGGCTGGAAGGTGGACGAGGCCCAGGAGGAGGACCCCTTGTTCCACGTGACACAGCGCTGGAGGCTGCCACCACTGGGCACTCCTGGCCCGGCCCAGCTGCACTGCCAGGCCACCATGCAGCTGCCGGGCATGGAGCTGAGCCACCGCCGGCCCATCCGGGGTGAGTCCGGGGTCCCCGGGAAGGGCACGGCCACATCCGGTGAGGAAGAGACAGCCCCTGGCTCTGCCCTCACCTGTTGGGTTATTTGGGCCACCTCAGGCTCTCCATGTCCCACCCGGACTGGTCATAGGACCTGGGAGGGGAGCCTCTGGGGGGACCGGGCTGGGCCTTTAATCTCTTCTCCCGGGGCAGCCAGTGTGATGCTTCTCATTCATTCAGTCAGTATTTCCTGAGAACCTACAGTGTCGCAGGCTCTTGAGGGGTCCTCCCTGCTCTGCCCACTGCCCTTAGTCTGTCCTCCGCATGGCCACCAAACAGTGTCCCTGAACACTGAGTCGGCCCACCCCTGCTCTGCCCACTGCCCTCTGGGCCTCCCCCTTCCCTGAAGAAAAAGCTTGAGTCCTCCCTGCCCACAGGGCCCTGCACGACCTACCCCCTCTTCTCCTCCTCCCCCGCACAGCTGTTCAGCTCGCTAGGCACAGTCCTGCCTCAGGGCCTTTGCACATGCTGTTCCCACTCGGCCCACTCTCTCTACATCTCACAGCGCCCTCCTCCCTCCTTCTGGCCTTTGCCTGGAAGGCACCTCTCAGCACTCTTCACCTGAAGTTCCTGCTTAAAGGGGACCCCCCACACACGTATGCACACATACATACACACCTTGTCCTGCTTCACGGTCCCGGATGCCTCTGGTTAGCGTCTGACATCCTGTATGGTTCTACTTATGTCTGTCGCAGTCGCAGCTGAGTCCCCAGTAGGCACCCAGTAAATACTCGTCCAGTTAATGGATAAATGGGAACAGTGCCTGCCAGGATTGTGGAGGGGGTATGAAGCCCCCAGTACAGTCTCACTGAAGAAAACTGTTCATTCTCCAACAGCCCCCCTCATGTTAATGCACTTGGGGTCCCATGAAGGTCTTGAGCAAGGGGGCTCCCGGGAGAATCAGACAGAAGCCACAGACCAGGTGGGGTTACTGTGGGGAGCCGTCACGGGAGGAGCAGAAGCAGCTGGGTCTGCGGTGCTGTGGCGGGAACAGACCGCTGCCCTGACGGCCCGAGTCTGTGCACTGAGGGGTGGGCGGTGCAGAAGGCCTCCTCACCCCTCCACCTCCCACCCCCTGTAGGTCTAGGCCAGCTGCAACCTGAGGGGGCAGCACAGCCGTCACCCCCATCTCACAGTTCAGGAAACTGAGGCCCAGGGAGATTCAGGGCTTGATCCCCATCCTGCTGTGAGGGGGTAGGGACCTGAGGGGGCACCCTGCCCCTGACGCTGGGGTCCTTGCCCCCGTGACTCACTCACCCAAGCCACTCAGGGGAAGGGCTTGCAGGGGCTCCCGTCCAACCCTTCTGTCCAAATGGAGAGACTGAGGCAGGAGTGGGTTAGGCCAGCTGAGAGAAAGACACAGCCAGTTTGTTTTCCAGTCCTACATAGCCCACCCACTCTGGAACCCCCGACACGGACCACCTTGGAGACCCCCACATCAACCATCTTGGAGCGTTCCACATCAGCCGCCCCAGAGCCCCCGACCTTGAACTCTCAGGAGCCCCCCACCACGGCCCCTCTGGAGCCCCCCGCCATGGGCACTGTGGACACCCCCACCTTGAGCTCCCCGGAGCAGAGCTCCAGCCTGGGGCCCTGCCGCCCTGAGATCCTGCAGTCCCCCGTGTCAGCAGAGAGGGAGGCCCGTTGGGAGTTGTTATGCAAGGTATCCTGCGGCTCCCCTGGAGTGACCGTGCACTGGACCCAGGCGCCTGGTGGTCTGACAGCCTACAAGCTTCGGGAGGCGGGAGCGCAGGCCTGGCTGAGCCTGCAGCTGGCTGGACGTGCCCCTGAGGGCTTGTTCCAGTGCCGCGTGGATCCGGGGCACGAGGTGGCCAGCCTGTACATCAGCAGTGAGTTCTGGGCGGGCACGGATGAGGGCTGGGGGGATCAAGACCTTAGACAAGAAAATGCCCGTGTCCCCAGCCATCCTGTGGGCTTCCTGGGACTGCGTAGATTTCAAAGGCCCTGTATACCCCAAGCCTTAGTGCCTCATACCGCTTGGAGAACACACAGAACGACAGGATGAAGCTTATCGTTCAGGTATTTCTGAGCCTCCTAGAGTCACGTGCAAAAAATCAAGTCAAGATGACCAGGTGTAGAGAATTCTGACAATGCATTTATTGCACTCAGTCTACCCAAAGCACTATACTGCTGTTGCAATATTAATACAAAAAAGTATTAACAAGACATTTATATTCTCCTTTTCTTTTCAAGTCCCTGAAGTGCATTGTGTATCTTACTCGCACCAGCCACTGTCCTGATGCTCAAAAGCCCTGTGTGGCCAGGGGCTGCTTACTCCTCAGCCTGGTTCTAAACTAGAGCCCTATGTGAATTTCAAAAGCGCAAGGCCTCTGCTTAGCCCGGGGGGTTTTGTCAATTTCAGGGACGTAACCTGGGAAGCACTTTCTGGCTGCTGTTCTCAGCCTGCCAGCCGAGGGCAGGACCCCAACCCACTTCCACCACTCTTCCCCAGTGCCTGTGGCTGTCCAGCTGTCTGCCACCCTGTGGACCGGGAGCCTGGCGCTGGGACTGCTCCTCTTGGCTTTCCTGGCCTACCGCCTGCGGAGTTGCTGCCGGGCTCTGGGCTGGGGCCACTCATCCAGCTTCTCTACACCAATGAGTCAGCAGCCACCCCTCCAAACGTGGCCGGCCTCTTCCTCAGCTAACTTGTGACCACAGGACATCTGCACGGTTGTGGACAGCATGAGGCCAACAGCTGGTCCCGTGCTCTGAAGGCCGAGAAATCGGGTCCCCAGCTGGTTGGGGTCCTTCTCCCTGGAGGAGGCCCTGGGGAGCCCACCTCCAATGGTGCAGAGCTGAGAAATAAAGGGCATTTGGTCTGAGCGTCAGTGAGCCCTGTTGCGGTCTGACGCTTCCACACACATCTGACCAGCCAGCCCTGCATGGGATGATTGCGCAGAGAGCTGGGGTACACAGAGACCACCCAACCTCCTTAGCCAGGGCTGGAGGGGAGAAGGTGGGAGAACATCAGTGCTCTGTACATTTCCCTGGGCGATGGGATATTTAAAGAACAAGTAGGCATTCCCCCAAAGAAATGGGGGACCGCATGGGCAAAGGCCCAGAGGAGGGGGGCTTAGGTGGTAGGAGGGTGGGAGAGCAGTTGGAAATGAGGGCAGCAGAGGGCGGGCACTGGAGAGCTAGGGGAAGCTCTGGAGCTGCCCACTGGTGTTAGAGAGGTCCCTCTGTTGGCTAGGAAGGAAATAGCCTGGGATGGGGACTGGGGGCAGGGGAGAATCAGTCATTCTGCAAACACTTGGAGCTCTGTAGTATAGTGCCTAAGGCACTAGACTGCTAACCAGAAGGCTGGCGGTTAAACAGGTTGGGCAATCTACTTCCGTAGTGATACTGCCTTGCAAACCCAAGAAGGGGTCGCTGTGAGTCGGGTCCAACTCCAGGGCACATAACAACAACCAGCTTGCTAGGCTGCATGAGAAAAAGCCCTTGAGCGGGAGAGCTCTGGGTCCAGAAGGGGAGACAAGTTCCAAACCAGCAATAACGCACAAGCCCAGCGCAGTCATCCAACTCAACTTGGAAAGTCGGGGGCAGGAGGGCGGGGGAGGGGGACATCACGGGGTGACCTATAAATTCAGATTAGGTGAGAGGGAAGGCCGCCTTGATCTTAATTTAACACATAGGCTCAGAAATGCAACTCCGAAATGGGTGTGGGGTGGGGCCGGTGCTCGGTCTTGCAGCCGAGGTGGATACATCCCCGCCCACGCTCAGCCTGGGACCTTGGCGACTAGGGAGACTGGTTGCTAGGAGACTAGGCTAGGGAAGAACTCTCTGCCCACGACCAAGATGACTAGCTAGCCGGCTTCATGCCAGAAACCAAGCCCTTCTAGGTAGCCATTTTGGAGTCTGGCAAGATGAAGATTCCAGACCTAATCCCGGAGAATCAGTCAGTACACATAAAGAAGGAACCAGTTTAAGAGTGGCAACTAGGAACTAGGAAAGAGGGTGGCCTCTTCTTTAGACTTTTGGTCAATCCCGGAGGGATCCTGGTGCGCTCTACCCTCAACCAAGATGGCGACTCGGGCGCACTGTGGAATATGGCGGCGGTTCCGGTCCAGCTGCCCTCACTGAAGATGGCAGCAGTGGAGAAACGGCGGCCGGCTGTGGCGCCGGTGGCCAATTTCACGGACAGCGGCCGGCCGTCGGTGTCCCGGGCAGCGGCAGGGACTGAGAATGAGGAGGACTTCTTGCGGCAGGTCGGCGTGACAGAGATGCTGCGAGCGGCACTGCTGAAGGTGTTGGAGGCGCGGCCCGAGGAGCCCATCGCCTTCCTGGCGCACTACTTCGAGAACATGGCCCTGCGATCGCCCGCAAACGGCGGCGCCGGGGAGCCCCCGGGCCAGCTCCTGCTACAGCAGCAGCGCCTGGGCCGCGCGTTGTGGCACCTTCGCCTGGCTCACCACTCCCAGAGGTTCGAGGCCGGGCCGGGTCTGGGCGGGTGGGGGCCGTGGCCAGACTCCAACTCCCAGCGTGCTCAGCGCGGCTCACCAGCAGCAGCGTGGGTGCTGGAACGCAAGGCATGCTGGGGGTTATAGTCCGCGGTGTCTCCCTGGCGATGGATGAATCGCGGGCGGCGGCTCCTTAACGAGATGGGGCTTGAGGTCTCCAGCTGGGACCAGATGGTTGGTGGTTCTGGCGCGCTTGGCCTTTTGTGATGCCTTTTTTGGTTCTCTGCAGATGCTGAGGGTCCCTTTGCAGTGGTCTACTTTTGAGAATCTTGGCATCTCCCCAAGGTGTCTTGGTTATCCAGTGCTGTGATAACAGAAATACCACAGGCAGATGATTTTTTTTTTTTTTTTTTTAATTAGGATTTGGGTGAAGATTTACAGAGTAAATTCACTTTTCATACAGCAGTTCACATATACTTTGTCTCATGTCATTGACCAAAATTTACAATGCAGCAGCTCCCCTCCCACTTCCTCCCCATAGTTACCTCCTCCCAGTGTCCATCCCTTCATACTCTTCTGCACCCTGAGCTATCTCCCTGTGCATAAGCAGCCCTTCCTTCTCCCATGATTGTTCTCTCCAGGGCGTGTGTCTACTTGAGGTAAATGTTTAACTCACATGCCTGTACTTTGTTTGGCTGGAAACCACGGTTGTGGGTTCAATTCCAGACCTGAAGGGCAACTAGGGGCCATAATCTCAGTGGTTACACCAGGCTCCATTGGACCAGCAAACCTGGTCCCCACCTTCTTTTTTTTTTTTTTTGCCTCCAAACGATTTTGAGTTTTGTACCACATTGTTCTCCCTCTTTATGTAGGATCTCCTACATCCCTTCCAAGTGGATGGCAGAGGTAGCCGGGCACCATCTAGTTCTTCTGGTCTCATAGTTGTATAGGTTGCAGATCGGATGGTGTACCAGTCGCTAGGACTGATTGTTTCCATTAATTTTGGTTTTCTTCTTTCTTCTTGATGAGGAGAGACCCATTGTTGCATCTAGATGGCAGCTTCCTAGCTTTTAAGGTCCCAGTCGCTAATCGCCAAAGTAGTAGGTGGAACAATGTTTTGTATAGTATGTTATGCCAATTGAGCTTGATGTCCCCTGCGACCATGGTCCCAAGCCCGCAGGATCAACTACTCGGTCCCTCTGGGTAGCTGACTGTGACCAAGTAATGACCATAACCTTGCCCCTTGTCAGCTCTACTATACACCTGGGAATTCTGATCATTCACATGAACTTATAGGCCCATTGTCTGCCAACCCTATATATGATCTTGGATACACTCTCCATTTAGACATACCTAATTGTTTAGCTTGTTCACCCATCTATCCGTCCCTATACCCATGTTTGCTTTCACTGACAACTCAGTACTGTATATGCAAAGGGGTTCATATTTGTTGTCTGTACTGCCCATGTAACTCTCTATGTCTTTCTCATCCTCAATGCTGCCATATTGGTCACTCACATTTGGTACACTGACAGGCAGATGATTTTAACAGACAGAAGTTTATTCTCCCACAGTTTGAGAGCAAAAGTACGAATTCAGGGTGCCAGCTTTAGGGGAAGCTTTCTCTGTTGGCTCAGTTTGGGAGCAAGGTCCTTGTTTCCTTTCATCATCTGTGGGCCAGGCATTCCTTGAAGAGCTCCGTGTATCTTGGTATCAGTCTTCCTCTGGGTCTGGGAGGTTCCCTGCACAGGGACCCTGTGTCCAAAGGAAGCACTCCATTCTTGGCTCTCCTTTCTTGGTGGTAGCAGGTCCCCCTCTCTCTCTGCTGGCTCCTTTCTCCTTTTAGCTGTTGTGAGCTAAAAGGTGATTCAGGCCACACCCCACGGTGTGTTACATCAGATCAGGGCTGGGTGTGGTTGAGGGTGTTGCACCCACCCTAATCCTCTCACAGCCCATCACAGCAGATCACATCATGGGGAATAATTATTACATTGTTTTATAAAACTGCTCATGAGAATCGTGGACTGGCCAAGTTGATACGTATTTTGGGGGACATACTTCAATCTGTGACACAAAGCCATGGAGCAGGCCCTTCTTCATTGCCTTGTAGCATCCGCGTCCGTTCAGCAGAAAGGGACTATTTATGAGTTTGGGCTGTGCAGATAGAAAGCATCCCAACTGCCTAAGATCCCGACCCAGATAGTTCCAACAGAGCCACTGGGCAGTAATGGGGAGCGGTTCCCACACTCCCACAGGCAGGAGGGATGGGAGCAGGGTGGGCGTGGCCATCGAGAGGCCCTGCAGGTGCAGGGGTGGAGGGGTGAGAGCTGCAGCGAGGCCCCCAGTGTGGACGGCAGGAGAGGCCGGTGGGTTTGGCTGAAGCATAGGGAGTGAGGGTGACAGGGCCTGGTCTCCCCTGTGCCCCCAAGGCCTGGATGGTTCTGAGTCCTGGAAGGTGGTCTCAGGGGTGAATGAACAATTGACATCAGAGTGGGTGTGGACAGCTATGTGATCCAAATCACTGATTTGACTTCGACTCGATGGCTGGTGTGGGTGGGCTGGTATTTTGGAGAAGGGGCTTCCCAGAGACAAGGGTTAGTAGGAGGTTATTTCCGTAGGAAGCGTTCCCAGGAAACGGAGGAAAGAATGGGGGAGCAGGGCATTGGACAGAGCCCAGCACTGGTGCCCCTTCAGCCTGATCCTGCAGGGAACTAAGCTTACTGAGGGGGCCATGAACGAGCCCCCCAGCCCCGGAGGGCAGCCCTCCCGAGGGAGGCACAGAGAAGCTGGGGGAGGGGCTGCAGGGGGGGTCTGAGCCGGACACCAGCATCCCTGCTGTGGGCACGACCAGCTCAGCGCAGGCTTCCTCGGCCTCAGACTGTCTTCTGGGGCGTCCTGTGCACTGCAGGGTGTGGGGCAGCACCCTGGCCTCTGCCAGCTCCACACTAGGAGCAGTGCCCCCGAGTCATGACAACTGCACAGCTCCAGACATCACCAGTGTCCCGGTGTGAGGGCCCCTGGGCGAGGGGATTCCATTGCCCCCTCAGGAGACTCTGGCCCGTGGTCGTCTGACCACCTGACGTCCCGGACGCTGCCCACATTTAAACCCACATGCTGCGTGGGGAGGAGACAGAAGGGGAACCGCGGGCCGGAGGGCCACGTGGTTTACACCGTCTGACTCGGCAGGGGCTTATCCTGGCGAAGAGCGTGACTCAATATTTTTCCACATAATTAACCCAGAGTCTTTCCTCCTGTGGACGCCAGGGCTGGGCCCTTCCCTGTGGGGCGTCCTGTGCTCTGCAGGGCGTTGAGCGGCATTGTCAGCCTCCACCCACTCAGTGCCAGGTCATGCCAACCACAAACGCCTCCAGACGCGGGCGAGTGTCCCCCAGGGGGCAGCATTGCCCCTGGGTTGAGAACCTTGGGTTGGTGTGAAGGGGAATCTCCGGAGCCATTCCACAAATACCTCCTTGTTTGTCTCTCCACAAGTGCTCACATGCATTACAGATCACGTTGCTGAGCAGACAGGGCTCTGCCCGGCGACCGGGCCGCCTCACAGACCACACTGTGTAGCTGAGGGGCAGATCCGTCCAAGACCAGAGCTCACACCCCAAGACTGGTCTCACCCGCGAGTTCAGCAGTCAATTCAGCAGGCTCCTCAGGGCGGGAGCCCGTGATAACCATCGTGCCCGGCTGCCCTGAGAGGCGGGCGAGGCCCAAGGCTCCTCTGTGCTTCTTGCCCTGCCCTGCACCGTAGCTCCGACCGGGCTGCCCTGTGCTCACCCCTTTGTGGGCCAGGAGCGCCTGATGACAGTGCTTGGAGAAGCCCGGGGCCAGATGAGAGCGGTGGTCAGAGCTAAGGGGCGTGTGTGCGTGGGCCTCGCCTGCGTGCCCAGCCCTGGGAGAGCAGCTGGCGTGCCTCCCATTCTCTCGCCCGCACAAGCATCCTGGGTGCTTTGTGTGAGCCTCACTCTCCAGCTGAGGACACGCCGCACGGTCACAGCCAGGACTCAGCAGAGGAAACCCGAGGCGGCATGGCGTGCGGGGGCAGGCAGGGCCAGGCACGAACTCATTCCCTGCCATCGAGTCAGTTCTGACTCATAGCGACCCCCACTGGGTTTCTGAGGTGGTAGATCTTTACGGAAGTAGATTGCCCCATCTTCCTTCCACGGAGCAGCTGGTGGGTTTGAACCACCAACCTTCTGGTTAGCAGCCAAATGCTCTAGGCACTGCACCACCAGAGTGCCTACCTTCTCCACCTCAGGGAGGAGGGAACTGATGGAAAGGAAGCGGATGGGGCCTCTGGGAGAGGAGTGTGAGGCCGTCAGATCCGTCAGGCTGAGCTTTCTTACCTGGCAGTAACAAAGAGCCCCGGAACCCGCATGGCTTTAATACAAGTGCAGCTGCTTTCCCACTCACGCTGCAGCAGGCAGCTCTGCCCCGCCATCGTGTCGTGAGTTTGACCATCAAAGGGAGGGGTCTTGGGCAACAGTGAGATGGCACTGAAACTCTCCGTTGGCCTGACTTCAAAGAAGTCGAGCAACAGGAAGAGAGCTGAAAGAACATGTGAGCAACAGGGGGCGGCCAGCCTCCAGGCAGCCCCCAGGGGCCCTGTCCTGCTGCCTGTGCCACTGTGGTCCCCTCCCACATCACCTAGAGCCAACCCAAAATCCAGTAAGGTGTGGCAGAGCTGACGGGATAGGTCAGAGGGGACATGGCTCGTAATTGCATTTCCTGCTCTGGGGAAGCCGGCTGCCATGTTTGAGGGAGCTCCAGCAGCCCTGGGAGGCGTCCAGCCATAGCCAGCACCACCTGCCAGCCTGTGCGGGGGCCGCCTTGGAAAGCTGTCTGCCGACGATGCCCACGGTGCTGGTGCAGCCGGCGTCTCGACCGCAGCCTCACGCGACCCTCGCAAGCCAGACCCACCACCTCAGCCACTCTCAATGCTGACACAGACCATGAAGCATGGTACTTCTTTTGTTGCCGGTGTTGGTGGCTGGGTTTTGGGGTAATTTGTCACTCAGCAATCCATGTTACCGGCACCAGTGGTGACCTTACTCCCACAGGTCTGGCCTTTTCCTCATGAAATGGGACAAAACCCACAGCAAAGGGTTATGAAGTGGCGTTGGTGAGTTAATGTGGTAACAGGGACAGTCACGACGGAGCTGACATTGACTGCCAGCTAACGTTGCAGCTGGCACCGTCCCTGCTTCCTGGGGTGACCTCATCAGCTGGCAAGCGTTCAGCACGGTGGCCAGCAGATCACAGGGGCCCAGTGGACGAGCCTTCTCACACCGGCGAGAGCACGGTGCCCACTGCTAGACACTCGGCCTTTCACACCCGCCAACAGCCAAGCTCTGATGCACTGAGAATTGAGTCCCAGCCGGGAGGGATGCCAGGGACCTCACCCCCGGGCCTCAGTTTCCTCCTCAGTAGCAGGACATTGGTCAGAAGGGCTCCCTAGGAGAGTCAGGCCGTCTGTGAGCCCTGCGGTGAGCAGCAGTGGTGACCGGGTGCCCGCTGCACACCAGCCCATGGTGAGGTGGGATGTCCAGGTCATGCTGGAGGCAAGGTGGACCTGCAGTGTCCAATGCCTTCCTCACCACCCAGCCGAGCTCAGAGAGGATGAGTATGGCCCTGGCTCCGCCCCTTCTGCTCTGGATTCTGGTCAGACTGTGGACCTGCCCCAAGCCTCAGTTTCCCCACATGTCACAGTAGAAATAGTAACAGCCATCTGGTGAGAGGTGTTTGAGGCGGACGGTTAAAGCGCCTCTGGGTCACTCAGCAGCTCTCGTTCCTGCTCAGAGACCAGGGGATGCTAGCACCTGCCCATTGTGCCTGAAGAGTCATCATTACTGTCAGTGGGATGGTGGCAGGGGTATTACTGCAGGGAGGACGGCTGGCAGTCTCGGGCGGAGGATGTGCCCGACAGATTGAGCAGACCATTGCTGGGCATCTACTGTGTGCCGGGAAGTAGTCTAGGCTAGAGGTTTGTGACAGGAACAGGATGGATAAACTCCTTGTCCCTGGGGTGCTGTCCTGGTGGGGGAGACACAGTATGTCTCTATAACTATTGTGAAGAAGAGGAAAGGGGTTGCTGGGTAGTGAGGCCCCACTGGGGAGGTAACATTTGCACTGAGACTGGAGAGTAGGGCGGAGGGGACATGTCAGGGGCGGGAACAGCACGTGCAAAGGCACTGAGGTAGGGCCAGGCGTGGTGTGGGGGTGGGGCTTGGCTGAGGCCACGCCCTTTCTGCCCGCCCCCACCACAGGACTGCCTTCAACAACAATGTCAGCGTGGCCTACGAATGCCTGAGCGCCGGCGGCCGCAAGAAGAAGCCAGGCCTGGACGGGCGCACCTACAGCGAGCTGCTCAAGCGCATCTGCCGCGACGGCGAGGCCCCGGAGGAGGTGGTGGCGCCATTGCTGCGCAAGATCCAGTGTCGGGACCACGAGGCCGTGCCGCTGAGCGTCTTCCGGGCTGGCATGCGCACCTGCTTCGTGCTGCTCGAGTTCGTTGCACGGGCTGGCGCCCTATACCAGCTGCTGGAGGACCCGGCACTGGCCGCGGCTGACCGCCGCGTGGGCCAGGCCGTGCTGGACACGCTGGGGGACGCGCTGCAAGCCGGCGACAGCGGTGCTGCCGCACCCGCACGCTACCTGGAGGCTGGGTCACGCCTCGGGCCTGACAGCCTGGCGCTGGCCATGGACCGCGCCGTGGTGACTCGGCGTCCCGGCGTCCCCATGACGCGCGAGGAGTTCCTGGAGAAGGCCGCTGCCCTCTTCATCGCCAAGGTCAAGCCCGTGGGCTAAGTCACCCTCATCCCTGACACCCCACCTGCCTTCACCGGCCACTCGGAAACCCTGACACCGGCATGGCTCACCGGTTCAGCAGGGAGGGCGGGTCAGGGATCCGGAGGGCATGGACTGAATGCGGGACGAGTGCGGAGGCTGCCCACGCCCAGACTCCTGTACCCCAGGGAAGAGGGTGAGCCCCAGGCACGGCCCCGCCCCACATCGTGGCTGTGCCTTCCAGGTCCTGCTCCGCCCACAGGCGCTTCCGCAGCAGTTACAATAAAACATCCGAGGTCTGCCCGTGTGTGCGTGCGGTGCGTGCCCTCCCCAGTACGGGTCCCTGGAGCTGCCCGGGGGCAGTCAGCCGCTGGCCCCGGCCCACTAGCCCACCCTACTGCGCTGTTGCTCCCTGCCCTGGCAGCTGGTCCCTGGGCAACCAGCCTTGAGCAGTTGACGGTGTGGAGAATGAGGGCTGACACTCGCGGCCTGCCGCTCTACCGAGCTGTCAGCATGGTCCTGTGTGGGAGGCCGATTACCGCCGCCTCTGGCAGGTGTGGAAACCAAGGTCCAGCGGGTGAAGGGCCATAGCACCAACCCCCCCCCCCCGGCCACCCCACAAGCTGCCTCTGCCCACCCCTCATCCATGCCTTTTATCCAGTGACTTGACTGACCTTCAAGGCTCAGGGTGATGAAAACCTGGTACCACTCACACCTCAGAGCCCCCTGGGGACCACCGCCTACCCTGCCTCTGCAGCCGTCTGGGGGCACTGACCTCAGTCATCCACCATGCCCAGGCTTGGGCCCAGGTGCCCCATCTGTCCTGGTCACGATTGACCCTTGGCAGCGAAGTCCTGGAATCCGCCCCGCCTGCCTTCCAAACTCCTCCCTTTGGCAGCACCCTCCTCCCTGACTCCAGACGCTCCTGGAAGTCCTGGAAGGTTCCTCCTCTTCCCGGTTTCTCGGTGGAAGGCTCCTCCAGGCTGGGCCCAGGTGCCCCATCTGTCCTGGTCACGATTGACCCTTGGCAGCGAAGTCCCGGAATCCGCCCCGCCTGCCTTCCAAACCTCTCCCTTTGGCAGCACCCTCCTCCCTGACTCCAGACTCTTCTGGAAGGTTCCTCGTCTTCCCGGTTTCTCGGGGGAAGGCTCCTGCAGGCTGTCCTCTCACCCACCCTCCCCTCACGTCCTCGTCAGGTGCTCTCGGGGCCCTGGCTCCAGTTTCTGCCTGTTGGCCAAGGGTTCTCATGTCCCCTCACAGGCCCAGGCAGGGCCCTGCTTCAGACCAGGGTGCCACCACCTCCTGTGTATCCATGGGGACCCCTCAAGGACCACACAGATCCCCACCTGTCCTGGTTCCCTAGTGCTGCTCTGACAAGAATTACCACAAATGGGAGGACCTTAACAAAAAGTTTATTCTCTCACAGTTTGGAGTCTTTAAGTCCAAGTTCAAAGTGCCAGGCTCTAGGGGCTGGGTCAAAGCCCCTTGGCCTTGGGCTTTAGCTCTGTCCCTTACTCCCGGCCCACTGGAGCTGGAGCCATCTCTTCACTTAGGCAGCTGCTGGCTGCTGAGGCTGACAAGCCCAAGGTCGACAAATAAAATGGCACAGTCCTGATACTACCAAACCACATGGCAGAGCATTAATTCAAGTCCATTGTAAGTCCCAAGGTCAGCAGAGCATGGCAAGCTGGTGAACAACGACATGGCTACATGCAGGGTCCACACGTGCCATAAGCTAGAGACTATCCCCAAGGCTCTGGTAGCATAGTGCCTAAGGCACTTGACTGCTAACCAGAAGGGTGGCAGTTCAAACCCACTAGCCACTCCTCGGAAGGAAGGTTGGGCAATCTACTTCTGTAGTGATACTGCCTCGGCAGCCCAAGGAGGGGTCGCTATGAGTCGGTCCGACTCCATGGCACATGACAGCAACAACAATCCCCAAGGCTTCTCCTTAAACACAGGAGGCAGACCACATCCCAAAGGCAGCTACTCGGCTGCTTGTGGTAGATTCCACCACAGAGTTGATTGCCAGTCTCATCATGGGGAATAACTACCACCAGCTGCCCAGCCACTCAACCAGGCCCAGCCAAGTTGACATACAAACATAGCCACCACACCACCCAAGACAGAGCTTCAGCCATCTAGAGTTTCTGGTTTCCACGGAAGGCCTCAAGCCGATAACAGGAGGGTGGCCTGATGTCTCCCCAGGCCCCACCCACCCCTATCACCACGGCACATCATGGCTTTTCACCCACCTTCTCCATGGCCAACCAGAGCATTCCAGGCCCCTTAGGCTGCAGTGATTGGTTTGGTTATAAGCATGTGACTTCCACCCAGCCAATGAGACAAAGCCCTGGGACTTTCTCTAAGAACTCCGTGCTGAGTCACTGAGCTTGCAGGAGCCAGGCCTGGAGTCTGGGACCAGCTTGTCAACAGGGCCTGTGAAGGAGTCTGTCTTTGGCAAAGCTGAACTGAGAGGTCCCCCAGTGTCTTTTCCTCTGTCTCCTTCCTTCCTCACTCTGGCCCAGGCACACTGGCCTCTAGCTTGTCCCTGAATGCTCCCAGGGCACTCCTGCCTCAGGGCCTTCCGTCCCTCCCAATTCACACAACTGTGGCCCTCATTCCATCCCGTCTCTGCCCACGTGTCACCTCCCCACAGACACCTGCTGTCTAAAATAGCCTCCCTGCGCCTCACCTCTGTCCCTTTCCTGCACAGCACCACCTCAGGACTCCCTGTTGCTCTCCTGGTTGGTGGCCTCTTGCCCCATCTCCAGGAGGGCAGGGAAGATTTGTTCACTTGCTTTGTTTCCTGCACCGCCCCACCACCCACCCAGTCCCTCCAGGATGTGGGGCATACATGGGAAGGCTGATCCTTGGGAAATCTCAAGGGCAGTGCCCTGACTCATCCCATGGCTGTTTACCACTGGGGCACAGGGTGCTTGTTTAACCCTCACTTGACTGATGGCGTGGCCAGCTCCATCAGCAGCCTCAGGTTCCCAAAGGGCATGACTGAAAGACGGCACCAGGCAGAGAGCCCTCGTAACTGAGACCAATGTCTCACAGGCAAGGAGGCTTCCTCCAGGCCCCCTCCCGAGGCTGGCGGAGGACCCATGGGGTGAAGCCCAGTACCCCTTTACAGATGAGAAAACCCAAGAGCTGCTCTGCCCAGAGCTTTCTGGATGTCTCAGCACGCACGTGCGCGCTCGCACACACACACACACACACACACACACCACCTTTAACACTTTGATTTCCGAATTCCCAGACGGGTTTGCCCGCCTGTCCCCAGCTGAGATGCTTGACTCATGAGGCCAGAGGCTAGGCACCCAGGGGCGAGGTCACCACAGCCAAGGAGTTGATGCAGCTGTGGGCAGCCAAGGACAGCTGCCAGCAGGGTGGGGCCACAGCTGGGGCAGCCCGACAACAACAGGCCAGGAGCCACCGCATCCTCCTGACTGGGGCAGGCATGGCCAAACAGAAACCAGCTCGCCACACCTGACTCTCATGACCAACTGGCCAGCCAAGGAGTGTGAGAGTCAGCCTGGTTAGAGCAGTCAGGGTTGAGAAGTCCAGGGTAAGGGCTCAGCTGGCATCAGGGCTCAACTCAAGTTCAGGTTTCAGCTAGGGTCAAGGCTCAGCCAGGATCAGGGCTCAGTCAGAGTCCGGGCCTGTTGGGTTGGGGTCCAACCGGGGTCAGGGCTCAATTCAAGTCAGGTTTCAGCTGGGCTTAGGGGTCAGTCAGGGGTCAGGGGTCAGTGGGGATCAGAGCTCAGTATGGGGTCAGGGCCAGTTGGGTTGGGGCTCAGCCAGGCTCAGAGGATGGAGCGTGGCTGAAGGTTGGAGTTCAGCCAAGGGTCAAGGCTCAACCATGGTTGGAACTCAGCCTAGGGTAAGAGTTCAGGAGCTGGGGCTGAGCAGGGATTGGAGCTGTCTGGGGTCAGGACTCAGGTCAGCATGGGGGCTCAGCTTTGAGATGGAGTACAGTCCCAGGGCCAGGTTGGAGCTGGGCCAGGTGAGGACTCTGTCCGGGTCAAGTGCGTTAGCAGCTTGTTGAATGAAGAAGGTTCCCCGTGGAGGCCCTGTGGACTCAATGCTTTCCCAACTTCACTAACGGCCATCTTTGCCACAGCAGCTCATCAGACGGATGATAAACTTTTAACAAGACGCCTGGGCTGGCCCGTCCCTCTCCGGGAGCTTCTCTTCCACTCCTTACACTACTGGGCTCCAGCCACGCAGCCTGCCTTCCTACCTGCCCTGAGGGTGGTACTATTCCAGGCCCAGCTCTGCAGGAAACTGAGGCACCGCCCTGACTGGGCTCAAGGCCCAAGCTCCCATGCCCTGCCCTCCTCTTGGCGCCCCCTTTTCTGGCCGGGACAACAGGAGATTTGACGGGCCATCTCCTCTTTGAAGAAACTTAGGCTCGGGGACGGCGCGGTGGCGGCCATCACAACACATCGTACCATCATGCCCAGCTCGAGCCAGTACCCTAACCGCTTCATCGCCCAGTCCCGGACCGGGGGCCACCCCCTACCAAGCGTGAGTGTCTCAAGTCAGCGCCC